AGGCTTACATTATTGGCTCAGCGTTAAGGGGCTGACTTAGACTCGAATATGTTTGTATGAGGAAGTAAAGCTATTGTGGGTTGATAGGATCATCGAAGTGGCCTAATTGTGCTGTTACAGCTAATCCAACAGGATTCAATAGGGCTCTGTGCTGAATCCCGTTGTTCCGTCCAGAGATTGCAGAGCAGTGAGGAAATGCGCTTCAGTGAAATCAAATTGCGTCTTATTTGTTGCTATTGCTAAGTCTTACGTATTTTGCAAAGTAATCCAGAAAATACCCGGAGCCTCGTGCTCATGGATTTAGGAGCAAATCATCTGCAGCAACAGCAGCATCGGCAGCAGCAACACGATCTTTCGCATTTTTCTGGGCATTTGCTTAATGCTAGCAATGCTGCTGCATTAGAAGTCTCGGCTACTACTGCTGCTTGCGCTGTTACCACTACAAGCAATATCGCTGCCACCGCTCTGTTATTTGATGGTTCCGCAGACAGGGGCAACATCCTTACGGTCGCCAGTACGGCATGTCCGCCTTCTTCTAGCCCGTCATCCAGCATTTTTTCAACTGCGCAACATGATATCTATCGTATACCAAACATTGCTGCTGCCGACCGAATTCCTGCTACATTGGATAATATAGCCGGCAAGTTACCAAAGAGTAAGTATTATTATTTGTTCCAAATACAGCCAAGCTGACACTGACAAAATCTACATAAATAATTTATTCGATTTATCGTCGTCGATACAGTTTTACTAGCTAAAACCCGCTTTCAGCAAAATATTTCGATTCAAATCACAAAAATTAGGTGGGATGCCAAAAAACTTTAATTTTTCTAGTAACTGGACATTTTTTCAACGATTGCCATAAGACTATTTTAAAAACCTGTTAGTTATTCTTAAGATTAAATTACCGACGGAAAAACATAATTTCTACGAAAAATACTGCAGAATACATACGCACTATAAGTAAATCGATCTCAAACATTTTAACTATGCAAGCGCACAGAGTCATAATTCTTTGATAGCATATTTTTTCAAGCATGAAAGTACTAACGTTAGGAGCTGCACACAAATGGTCGTAGTTTTAGTGAGTCGAGTCAATGATTTGTTTCAAATCCTCATATCATTTCTCTCATTTTAACCCGAGCTGAAACGAACCAAGCTAGCCGGTGCAATCATGTATTTTTGCGCTAAACTTGAATAAGTCGTTAACTGCACGAATAGTTGTTGCTTCACACCTACTTTGTGCGCTCACTACCGTAAATCATCGTAAATTTTGCATACAGGAAAATGGACAATTCCTGTTTGGCGGTCGTTTCTTGATAATGATCTAACTCTTTAATGTGCAGCTTTTTCGCCAAAAATTTAAGTGCCTGTACACGAGAACCACGCATACCTGGAGGATGAATTTGAAGTTCTTAAGCTATATCCGTACAAGGAATATTATCCTAAAATTTCAGCTTTCCAGCTTTTCTGGTTTCCGAGTTGGCAGTTTTCCCGTCAAATTTTTCACGTATTCGCACTTGCGAACTACGAACACCTAGGGGCTAAATTTGAAATCTTCAGCTTACGCGTGCACAAAGAATATCCCGGCAAAGTTTCAGTTTTCTGTCTTCCCTGGTTCCCAAGATCGCTTTCCCGCCAAAAAATCTGCTTACTTTTTTAAAAGCGTCCGTACGCGGAACCCAGGCGTCCGCGAGGGGTGATTTTAAAATGGAAAGATCACACATGGTATGGGCACATACTTTCGAAGTTTCAGCCCCCTAGCTTTTCTGGTTCTCGAGTTGAAAGTGGTTGGCAAAGGGTGCGAACACACAGACACACACACAGACAGCCTCTTTCCAATATGCGTTTCTGCATACGCAAATTGCAAAAATGCATATTGGGAAGAGGCTGTCTGTGTGTGTGTGT